AATATTAATTATAATAAACTCACAGATACAGAAAGCCAAAACTTAGAAGGTGAAATAACTTATCATGAGGCATCATTTGTTTTAAAAAAACATGTCAAACAACAAAAGCCCCGGCTCATCTGGTTTTGGAGCCGATTTTTATAAAGTATTCTGGAAAAAAATGGGACATTTTATTGTAAGAGCTCTAAATGAAGCATATAATGTCGACCAGTTATCCATTACTCAAACACAAGGAATAATTACATGTTTACTTAAGGAGAATAAATCTAAACTTTTTCTTAAGAATTGGAGGCCAATAACTTTGTTAAATACTAAATATAAGATTGGATCTGGATGCATTGCAAACAGAATTAAAAATATTTTTAAATAAACTTATTAGCAAAGATCAAACGGGTTTTATAAAAGGAAGATATATCGGAGAAAATGTTAGACTGATATATGATATTATGAATTATACAGAAGATAATAATATTCCTGGATTACTTCTTTTGATTGACTTTGAAAAAGCATTCGATTCGCTATCTTTGGATTTTGTACATAATACCTTATCTTTTTTCAATTTTGGTCCATCAATTAAAAAAATGGTTTAATATCTTTTATGAAAATGCAACATCAGCTGTTTGTCAATGTGGATTCTTATCCAAATTTATCAATGTACAGCGAGGCTGTCGTCAAGGCGACCCTCTTTCATGTTATATGTTTATATTATGTGCAGAAGTTCTTTCCCTTAAGTTGAAATCCGTAGAAAATATTAAAGGAATACGTATTAAACAGACTGAACATTTACTGTCACAGTTTGCTGATGATACCACTGTAATAATAGATGGAACAGCAAAATCTTTAAATGCCACTCTTGATGTTTTAACAGTTTTTGCTCAGATCTCGGGGCTCAGGGTGAACTTTGAGAAGACAAAGGTTGTTTGGATAGGCATTAAAAAGTACAGCAGTGATAGCATAAAAACTAGATGGAAACTCAATTGGAACGAAACTAGTTTCAAAATGCTTGGTATAACATTCCATGTGGATCTTGAAAAAATGGTAGATCTTAACTTTAAAGAAAAAATATCCAATATAGAAAAAATGATTAAACAATGGAATAGAAGAGCTTTGACTCCAATCGGTAAAATAACAGTAATAAAAACAATACTTATCTCACAACTAAACCATCTATTTATAATGTTGCCGAATCCTTCGGATAAATATATACAACAAATTAATGATACATTATATGCTTTTATTTGGAATGGAACTTCAAAAATTAATAAAAATGTGTTAGTTAAAGATTACATGGAAGGGGGTTTAAGAATGGTAAATATAAATGCTTTTATGAATGCGTTAAAACTTACATGGATAAGAAGAATTATTTCAAGTGATGGTTGTTGGATAAGTATTTTAACACAGGGTATTGATGTACAAAAATTAGTCACGTGTGGAAAGCATTATGTCGAGAAAATGTCAAAATCTATTAAAAATGAATTCTGGAAACACACTTTAAATGCATTTTCATTGTTTATTGAGCATCAGAAATTTGATAAAGAAGACATTTGTAACTTACCTTTATTTTACAATCAGAACATTACTATTGGCAATAAAAGTATTTTTTGGAAATCTTGGTATGATAAGGGAATTCGTTGTATTTATGATATCTTACAAGACAATGGCCAGTTTTATACACCAGAAGAATTATGCAAGATCTACAATATAAATATCAATCATCTTTTATATTTAGGAATTAAAAAAGCAGTTACAAATTTTTTTCAAAATGTCTGCTTCAACCCTTTAACTTTTAAGAGAGAAAAATTGCCAACAATTCCAATACACATTAAAGGTATAATTAAGACCAAAAAGGTTCAAAATATATGTATGATTCGCTTAATGTCAATTTCAGCAAGCCCGTTTGTCAGGTCAAATGGTCACAAAAACTATGCCTCCCAAATAATGATGAATACTGGAAGAATATATATAATTTACCATTCAAACTGACAAAAGATACTTATTTACAATGGTTCCAAGTAAGACTTATCCATAGGATTTTGGGTACAAATAATCTTTTGTTCAAAATGAAATATATTAACAGTCCCTTATGTAGCCTTTGTAATCTTCATGATGAAACTATAGCACATATCTTTTGAGAATGCATTCACAGCAATAAATTAATACACGAAATTTGTATAGATAAACTAAACATGCCAAACTTGAATAAAGAAACTATGCTTTTTGGTTACACTAAAGGAAACAATACAATAGATATTGTAAACAATTTAGTTCTTTTATATGTCAAAATGTATATTTTTAAATGTAAAACTAATAAAACAATGCTATCTTTTGCTGGTGCTATAAAGTATATTTCATATGTTTTAAAGGTAAATGAAGAAAAGGCTATCCAATGTGGAAATATTGACCAATTTAAAAAAGACTGGCATACTGTATTAAATATATGTCATTAATCATCATAATATAATAGAGACCTATCCAAATTTTTTGTTCCAATCTGATAATGAATAATGTGAAAAATCATCGAAATACTTGTTCGTATGTTGATGTTAGGAGCGACCTTTGTCTTTTCAGTTTTCATACCTAGCTTTGTTTGAGCATACATGGAAGAATAAATTCATGTTTGTAGTATTTTTGAACGTGCCCTGGCCGCAAAGTATTTGTCTTTGATGTTTTTGTTTGTGTTATATTGTTGTTTTCTTTTGTAAATAATCATCCTTTTTCGTATGTCTATTTATTCTATCGTCAAGCCTCCTAGCTAACCCCATTAGTATCATTAGTTTGTGTATTACTCATAAATATAGAAAAAAGTAATTATGTTTCTGTTTAAGGCATATTGTAGATTTAGTAATATTTTTCTATATCTTGAACTTATAACCTCCTTTACATATTCAAATTTTCAAAAAAAAGTTTTGCCGTAAATTACTTTAATATGTAAATACTATGTTAACTTTTCATGTTTTAACACATTATTGTAAGACTGTTAAGGGATGGACCTCCGACCCTTAAATAGTCATGCGACGGAGGCAATAAATGGGGTCACCTTCGGGGCCTGAAAAAAAATATATAATAGCAAGAAGTATGTTTCTTTCTGCCTCGCCAAGCTATATGAACATGCAAAGTTTGATTTCGATACCTCTCTTTAAAGTTTTAAAATTTACAATGGGCAAATACTGAAAATTATGAAAAACAGAAATATGAATTCATGATTTTTCACACTTTTCTCTGTCTCACCATGACCTGTATATCGATATAAGATTTGTACCATATTGGAGGTATGGACAGTATAAAATAAACGTGGTGGGACGTGACATTGCGTGTTTCCAATAAAGCGTCCACAATAAGTGGTGGGGTTAAAACTTGAAAATTATCGAGCGTCTGAAACAAGTGTGAAATGGTAACGCTCGTATTCCAAACATGTCTGAATATTTCCATAGACAATAGGCCTAACGAAGAAAACCAAATCACTAGTGTTTGGACATTTTGCATTTGCTAAACTGTACTACTTTCCACTCGGAACGAACGCTGTTTTGCCATGAAACCTCTTAGTCTTCTTAACTGACTCCGAAAACTTGACAAATATGTATTGCTGATGCTCTTGCAACTGCTTTGTAGTTGAAACCATTCGACAGCACGTCCTTAATTCCTACAGGTAGCTTTACTAGAATTTAAACTGAAAACATTAAAAGTATGTGTTATCTTAATTGAAATGAAATACATATATATACAAAATGAAATACAAAATCGAAAAAGAGGCAGAATTTGATAACAATGCAATTCAGAGATTTCTAACTTAGAGCGTGTTCTAAACAAGTGTGTGAAGTTTCAAAGCTGTATGATTTATTGTTTTTGAAATACCATGTTTCATGAAACTTCTTAACCACAAATTTCTTTGTCAAAATAAGGCCTATAATTTGGTCTATATTCAATATTAGATGGACGAAGAATAAACTACGAGTGAAAACCGATTGTAACTGCAGCAAACAACAATGCGAGACTGGTTTGGATTTAAAACTGGAACCTATATAAAAAATAAAGCGTTTGATTCATACGCTGTATGTCAATTTGAGATTATATATCCCTGTTCCGGAAATCAAAATAAAAAATGGATACCCAATGCAATGCAATGCAATGCAATGCAAGCAAAGTATTTTCTTTTCTTAATCAATTTAAAAGGCTTATATAAGAATAACATTCTGTTCTTGCATATGAGCCCACATATTTTGTCTCCAGGAAACTTAGGTAAATGAACTTACCTCGTCTGAATCGTTGTCATATTCTACCATATTTTCCTTGGAAATTATAATTATAATGGCAAGCACGTGGGAAATAACAAAATCCATAAGTCATAAATCAAAAGTCATAAATCAAAAGTCATAAATCAAAAGTCATAAGAAAATAGTAAAATAAATCTATAAGTCGAAACTCAAAAGTGACCCTCCAAGGCTTCCATAAATTTTACTAAAGTGATATCAATGTGTTTTCATTCTTACATAAAATACTGTATTGTTACTACATCGCAACTAATACGTTACTTAATACTGTATATACAAATTAAATATTCCTATCAACTATAATTATGACTTTTGCTTATCATTATGTTTAGTTAAAGAAAATAACAAAGGATTAATCAGAGCGAGAAAGAGGGGGTTAGAGAGTGGGTCAAGGGGGTGTATTGAGAGAGAACTGACATACAGTATATACATGTTGATGAGTACACATCAGCTTTATCGAAACAATTAACTTATAATAGCGATATTTTAGTTTATTACACTCCCAGATGTATGAACTTATCTGGAACTTTTCTGTTCTTGAAACATTTATATCGTTACAAAAATACGCCAGTTGAACAAAAATTACAGCGGGATAGATAATCTGTCAGTAGTTTATAACTTGATTTACGTGCCATGCTTTATGATGAGTAACACAGAGAGAATACGCCTGGCCTATTTGTTTTTTTATAAACCATTGTTTTATATCTGCGTATTAAACAGTGTATATGAGGTAATTAGTGTAAATATTTGTTTTAATGAAGATAATTTATGTGATGACTTTAATTATAAATGGTGGGAATATTATAGAGCGACTAAACCCGCTATGAAAAGGATTATTTGCTTATGTTAAAAAAATGCAAGCAGTTTTCGACAGCGGAAAACAAAACTCCATGACTTGTGTGCAAACGGCCTTATTAGAACAATTTTAAGTGGACACATACTTCATGAAGATTGGGTATCAAATAGGTCAGTGTGTTTACTGCAATAAGTCACAAACATTTAACAAAAATGTGTGAAACGAATGGCGTCTTAGACAATGTTACTTTAGCAAGGAGGGAGAATCTGATGGATGTTTTAAATTCGTCTTGCGGAAATATAACACAAGATGACGGCTACGCGGGAAATTCTTCACGTGGTGGTGGTAACAGGAGAAGTTACGCTAGTTATCAAAAATTTTCATGTGGTTACTGTGACACAGCATGTATATACAGCGCCATTGAGACATTGTTTATCATTGGAATAGTGGCAAACATGTTTGTTATAACACGAGTCATTCGTGACCGGAAGTTACATGACCCAACATTTGTTGCTATAGCAGCTTTAGCTATTGCTGATTTATTATTTCTTACTCTAAATCTGACAACATCATTTGAAAGAGTTATCTTATCTGTCACGTGTTCATCTCCAGTAATAATTAGTTCACCATATTATATACTGAAATCCATTTTCTGGTTCTCAGCAAATACACACGTGGCTTTGCTAGCAGTTTTGAGGTATATCACGTTGGCTTATCCTTTAAGAGCTAATGCCTATCTTACAATTAAAAAGGTGATGATATCGTCTATAGTTGTGTGGATAATTGGAATAATAATTACAGGAAGTCTAATAGCACTTATAGGAGCACGAATTATTCTGGCTGGACGATCCCAGGAATTTTTGTTATTTTTATGGCTTTCGGTTTACTTTTTACCACTGATTATAACATGTATTCTTCATATTTTGAAAATATTTCTGGTCAAAGGTTCCATTACTGTCACAACAACAGAATCTACCCGGATGTCGATACAGCGCATGTCAAAAATAGTTGTTGTTGTGATCGTAATGGCGGCTGTTCTTCCATTACCGAGACTTATACATAAATGCTTAAAACTTGCTGGACGAGATGTATATCCACCTAGTGATTTTCGAACTCATTTTGGTGAAATCGCGGATTGTTTATTTCTCATAAACCATTTCATCAATCCGTTCATTTATGGATTTATGTCTGAAAAGTTTCGCAGAAGCTTAAAGGCGATTTTCTCTTGTTTACCTGGGGTTAATGAGGACAGTATTGTCACGTCTGATACACCATTGTCATCAAGAAAGATGAATTACAATCTAGGGGAAATGCCGAGGAAATACAGTTACGCTGATATTTTGGACAGTGTTAATGGTGTGTAACTAAACTGATATCTTATTGTTGATATTCTATAATGATATCAACATAGATATCTATACGGTGAGCTACTATATAAAATGACACCATACAAACAAATATTTCATCATATACAGTATCATATATAAAGTAATAAAATGTTCAACAGTATAAATTGACTCGAGTATAGTTGATATCAGATGTTGTAAAACTGTGCTACCATGTAAATACTAAAGTATAATTGATATCAATACTGAAATAATGTGCTACAATATAAATTGACTGAATTATAATTGATATCAAATGCTGAAAAGGTGTGCTGCAATATATGTAGACTCAAGCATAATTGATATCAAATGCTGAAATAACGTGCTTTAATTTAAATAGACTCAAATATAATCGATAAAAAAAACATATTTTATATTGCTTGTAAAATTAGTGTATGTTTTAAGTCATCAAGCAATATTGGTGTTGTAACTATAACACATTGTGCCAAATTACTAATAATTTACCTTTGTATATAAACTAATATATAGGAAAAGAAGTTTGACTCCCTGTGTAAATGTAATATATAAAAAATAAATTTCTCGAAAATGCAGTAAATAAATATCGTTCAGTTTATATATTTATGTAAAATGTTTAAATTTCTAGTGAATTATTTGTTGCTGAACATAAATATAATAAAGTAATTTTTTTATTTAAATTCTATTATTGCAACAAAGTCTATGCCGGAATAAATCGGGGTAACCAAGATTATAATGAAATACCAACAAAAGTTAACTTAAGTGTTGAAAATTGATTGTTTGATAAACTTCTCATAGTTGTATAATAGATTGTTCTGAATGACTAATATACCGTCAGCAATAATATATTGTTTCTCAAAGTCAAAGTCAAATCACACTCTTTTCATGTTAACATGAATAAATGTGGTTAGTAATAAGGACATTGTTAGTAGAGGTACTTTGAACATATACAATGTATACATACTTAGAGGGATAAGAAATAAATCGTAAAAAGTATTTGTTCTTATCATTTGCTAACACATAAATCACATATTACAATCAAAGCACAGAAGGCGCTGAATTTGTTTGGGTCTCAGAATGTCAGAAAGGTGAAGGTTGTGAGATTATAAAACAATTTGTTTTTGTATATTTACGCAGTGATCTCCCCTAAATTTTTCGGCCTAAGTGTTACATATGAAGGGAAGTAACCGCTTATAAAAAGCGGACTACTTTCGGCACTTGCAATTAACAGCATTAAAGTCTGAAATTTCGCTACCATTATTTGTTTGGTCTGACGTCCCAAACAAATAAAAACTACACATTGGTACATTTCTTATTAAATGAGTTAACCACAGTAAACCGTGGAGAGTTACATTAATTAGACACACTTAGGAGATAATTTCATTGGACACACTCAGGAGATAATTCCATTAAACACACTTTTGAGATAATTTCATTAAGAAGATAATTTCATTAGACACACTAAGGAGATAATTCGTTCCATTTTACCAACATCAGTTAATGTGTGTACTGTAATATTGACGATAAAATGATTACATTAAAAAGAAAAAAAATAATTATTGAACAACCGTCAAGTGGTGTGCGAGTGCATTTATATACGTCCTATTACAATAGATTAGCCTGGGTTCCAGTCTGTCGATTTTGTATGTCCTTCTTGTCGGCAAATCGACATATATTGATACTATCAAAACCAGAGATGTTGTGTTATCTATGACGATCGAGTATGAAAATATAATAAGTTATGAATAAGCAAAAAATATATAAACGCCTGAATCCCAGGCTACTTATAGATATATATACGTATATCTCATGTAGTTGTAGTATACTAAATAACTCCCCATCCCGGTATTGCAAATTACGTAGTTACAGTTCGGATTCTAGATTTTTTAAGAATTAATACACCATACAAATTGTGCAGACTGAATTATTATATCTACACTGTATATTGCAGTTTATCATAAAATTTGATAATTTAAACATTAGTGCTTTTCATCGACGGTAACTTTTAGTTAATGTCGCCTTGTCTTTTTGAACTTTTTGGCTTGCAGCCACGGCTGCAAGCCATTTCATCTGGAAAACTTGTTCCGGTTAGGTGGTTTCCTGCTTACATCTGTTGGTGCATGATTGAACGGGAAACCAGCTGCAATCGTGCCAATCGCAACTTTTTGGTCTTTTCCGTCAGTCTTCGGATTAATGATAATAGCCGATGTAGTTCCGATTGCAATCGTGACAATTCGGGCGATTCCGTCATACTGCGGGGTAATATTACGGAAATCTAAGCTATTTTAGTTACTTCGGTAATCCCAGTTTGTGTATATAAATAGGATTTCTATTTTTACTTGATTTATCGGTTTAAACCGTAATAAATTATAAACGAAATTGTTCCGTTTCAGTTGTTTCTTTTATAATTGTTTTTTTGTCTGTATTAGTTTTATACAATAGAGAATGGTGACTGTAGTATTATTCCGTCTTCAAAGGGTGGTCCTGCTTACCAAATCACGCATGATCGAGTTATATTTTGATCTACTGAACGCAATTCAACTTCTTGGTGAGGTAATCTAAAAATAGCCCATGAATATCATTAACCTTGCCACGTGCTGATCTATGTGTCATAGTTGATACATGCTTATTAATTGGTACCACGTAACGAAGTATTTTAGTGCATTTACTTGTCTATAAAGCAACGGAATGATTTCGCTGCGAAAAAGGGGAAATGAGATGTGCACACTTGTTTTACTTCAGTATCACGTTAATATTTTTACGATTGATCATTTTCTTTATTAGTTTTATACAATAGAGAATAGATCTAAATCGTTTTGACAAAAAATATTCGGTTTTCCAAAAAAAAAAAAAAAAAAAAAAACTAAATAAACCCTTTATGATATACAAATACCGTAATTCAAAAAAAAAATGTGATAATAAATTTAAACAAAAAAAAAGAACAATTTTAAAGGGTTGGGATGAAGGCACAACTGTGCAAGCCTTTCCTTTTAAAAGGAAACTTTATTTATATTCTATTGACTTTTTTTTTCTTTTTAAAATTGTTTTTCCGGAGTCATGACCACGGTAACTTTCCGGTGTCCTTTTATTTTATACCATATGGGTTTTCTTCAAAGAAATATCTAAATTTATTTAATTTTACCCATGAAATATGGTGCTATATCAGTCAAATATATTTCATATTTTTTAAAAATAAATATGAAATATAAATATGAAAGTGGGCGGAGTCAAAACTCATATTTATTTTAAGGGACTTCTTTCGCCGTTTTGTTTGAAAAATCTGATAAATACAAAACAACTTTTTCTTGAATATTGTTTTGAAAACTATCTAGCATGACAGAAAATGGTCTAACTAAGAAAATTAATCCGAACACAAATATCTTTAATTCAGTAATTAACGCTGTACAGACGTTTAAAGAGTTGTTTACATGACGTCACAATGTAGCGCCAAACAGCGCGTGCTTACGCATAAATTACTGCGCGCTGTACAATTGCTGTTGGTAGCAAGCAAGGGGATTCGTTACCATTTTCTTTGATAATGAAATTAAATAAAAAGGTTATTTTTTCGTTTTTCGTGAAATATGGTATATATTTTCACTCAACATGATAAAATGCCACATATTTTCACTCGCCGTACCGGCTCGTGAAAATATGTGGCATTTTATCATGTTTCGTGAAAATATGTTCCATATTTCACGAAACGAAAAAATATCCTCTTATTATGTAAAATCTAGTAAAAATATTATGATTTTTCTAAATGTGAAATAAAAAAGAAGTGAGTAAATTTATTTTTTATTCTTTTTTCCGAAGAAATCTTTGAAACTCATTATTAATAGAATAGAGTATGACCGTAAGGGCATATTTGCTCCAAATGAACGATATTTTAGACATTTTTATAGGGTATAAGATTTGTATATTCTGTTTCTTTCTATACTAATAGCGCATGTATAAAGCCCCTTTATAAGCGTTTGACATTAAAAGAAAACAAAAACAATTGAAATATGTTTTTTTTATTCTGAAAAAGTTATTTAATAAAAATAATGTGCTGAGCATGTATACATGTAAATAGTGATCGCCATTCTTGACGTCACAGAAACGTCGTACGACAGCCCCAACCCTGTCGTAGAGCTGCGACACTTCCTACGACGTCGTAGGCTACGACAAACGTTAATAAAACGGTGTTAACGTTCTGCGACATGTCTGCGACAAAAAACTAGCCTACGACATGTCGTAGAGCGTTGATAAAACGGCCCCCAGAGGTCAGTAGAGCAGATTCAGGTAAATAAAGGTAAATATATATGAAGTATGTGCGAGTTACGAAGAAAATCTTCAAAGAAAACAAAGTCTGTTCACCTGTGAATGTCCTTATTCCAAATATATATACATTACATCACATTACATTGTTCCAAACTAAAACCTAGTAACTTTAGTCACATTTTCACAATAAATTTCTAAGAAAACAGTCCGAGAAATTATCTACTTCCCGACCATTACACTAACCGGAAGTTATTATACCAAACAAACTTAAATTACGTAGATACAAAATATTTTTAAATTTGCAAATTGGATGTTGTGTTGTTTTTATTTCTGACACTGAATACAAGGGGGTTAATCCATGCGCGCGCATCCTTAAAGTTCTGATACTGCGAACACTTCATCGGCCGGTATTTCGAAGAAAAACGGGTGGTGTGAAGAAATCAGAAAAGGTATGAATTTAATTTGTTTTGCAAAGAAGATGTCCTAACTTCTAGTTTTTATATACAAAATGTCTTGAAGTAACTCTTCCCTGTTTTGTCAGTATTTCGCGTTGAACGCGATTTTGATTCTGGATAGTGCGTACACCCGGCGTTGATATGTTACAGAAAATGAGCAAATATCGATTAAACTGGTCGTTTTAAACGGCTGGAAGTTATACTGTTGTAGAATCCTTTTCAAAAATATATTTCAACCTTCGTTCCTATTCATCTGTACTAAAAATGTATTTAAACGCACTATTTACAGAAAACAGAGATTATGATATTGCGTACACTCTAAAAAAAACAGATACTGCGTACACATATCTATGCAATTGATAGAAAGTACATTTTATTCGAAGCAGTCTAAGGTTTATAAAATGATAAAGCGGATTACATGGGTGTCCCATTTGAAGAATTATTTAAAATCTACATCCTAGAAAATGTTTAGAATTAACATTTATTTATGCAATTTGTTTAGGTATTTATGTAAAACCTGGTGAATAATTGTCTATCTTGATAATGTTTTTATACTCTACATTTCAAAATAAATTACTTCTTACAGTCAAATTTATATCTTATTTAAGAAAATGAATGTGTGTCGATTTTGTGGTGAATTCTTTGCCAGTGAATCTTCTCTCAGACAGCATGAGGCACGACATCGGCAAGATGGCCCCTACAAATGTGATATATGTAGTCAAGTGGCTTTTTCGGAGTACCATTACAAAACACACATGCAGCGTCATTCCTCTGAACGCAAGTACGAATGTAAATGCGGCAAATCGTTCAAGACATCTCATGATTTTAAACGTCATGAACAAAGAAAGAGCCAAATAAAGGAATTCAAATGTGATGAATGTGGCTTGGCCTTCCATAATAATAAAGATCTTAATGATCACAAAGATAAGCACGAGAATAGAAAACGTCATAAATGTGGAAAGTGTGGCAAAGCATTCAGATATAAATGCAATCTTTACAGACACTCCAAAATGCACGAAGGGTGAACATTGTGGGAAAAAATTCCAAGCGAAGCAGCTATTTCGTCCCATCTCTCATATGCAAATAAAGATCCTGACTGTCAAGTGCAGTATTTGTAATCAAAGCACAGAAGGCGATGAATTTGTTTGGGTCTCAGAATGTAAGAAAGGTACAGGTTGTGAGATTATATGTATAGTGCCACCAATGCTTTCAAGCGTTTTAATTGTATTAAATTGGCTATAAGACAAATTGCAACACTGATATTCAATCCAATGTTTATTTGAC